GCTCCAACTTCTTTGTTTCATTTAAGTTTGTCTTTACATGTCAAATGTGTAAGTAAAGTTGTAATATAAAAAAAGTATTTTTGATGAAGATTTGATAGTAAATAATAAATCTCAAAGAATATTATACATCTCTTATTATTTTTGAGACCTTTCAATCTATGATAGTTTTAAATTTCTTAGGATCCATCATAATGTCATTATTTAAAATAAAGTATCTTAAAAATTAAACTTGAAAAGTATAAAATACATCTTTTTCATCTTAGCATATAATCTTATATCTCTAAATTTTTATAACACATGACAAATATGAAGTTTTTTATTTTTTTTTTGTTCTAGAATAAATTAAAATATTATCTAAATAAAAAACAAAAAAATCATCCAAAAATTCTTAAAAGCCAACATTCGTAAATATGTTGAAAAGAAGCTAGTAAAATTGTAAATCTAAAAGATATGACATTATATCCAAAATATCTATAATTAATTTAAAATATTATCTTTCATTCATTTCCTTCTTTGATGTATAGCAAGTTATATATTCGTTATAGATCTATTTTAGTGTAGATCTTAGTTTGATTTAGTTGATCAAAAAATCTTGATATCAAAAATAGAAGGTATTTATTTTTGATGGTCATCTTATTGAATCTTGAATAATTCATAGATATCTGCAACAATCAATCTTTTTTCTTCAAAATTAAGATAAGAACTCATGTTATAACTTTTGAATGGTATATGAAATTCTTAACCACATTCTTATTAATTTATCTCTTAAATTCACGTAATTCATTTTGCAATAATCTATAAATTGATTCAAATGATAGTTGAACTCTTTCTTGAAGATTAATTGAACAATTATAGAAAAATATTTTCAAAAAATATGTACATTTTTCTTCTCAAAAAAAACTTTAAAATCTTAACATTAGCTTGGAATGTTACTTAAAGTCTTCTTACCATTAGAACTAGGTGTGGCATAAATAATAAAAGGTAGATCTTTTTTTGCAACATATAAGAAAACTCTTGCACCTATAAATACAAGTTTGGTTCTATTAGACTTTTAACTTCTATTAGGTTAATAAATTCTTAGTCCTACTTTAGAAAAATAAAGACTATAAGAAATCCAATATATTTAAAGGTTTTATTTTTTTAACTAAGATAAATCTAAAATAATTGAATTAGAAGGAGATTTAATTATATTAAATATTACAAAGCTACTATCACTATTAATTGTTATTTTTATAAGAAGGATTTCATAAGTAAAATTTCTAAGAGGTAATAAATGACCATTTATAAAATCTAAATTAATAAATATAGTTTTTTTTATTAAGAATATGTTATATTTTTTAATAATTTTTTTATTCAAGAAATAAGTTAAGTATCTTGAATTTAGTAAGATAGATGTTTTGTGATGTTTAGGTCCTAAATTAACATCTATTATAAAATAAGAAGAATTTTTTTAAAAAAAATAGGACCTTTATTATATATTATATAAGATTTTAATTGCATAGTTCCTATTATAGTTAGATAAACCTTTTTTTTGACATGTTATCAATTTTGACAGCCATACTTCTCATTTTGTGGTTATATCACTTCTTTGGACAATTTTGAGCAATATACTTAGATTTTCCATAATATAAGCATAATCTTTCTTAATGATAATGAGTCTTTTCTTATTCAATAAAAAATTTGAAACATGCCACATCAATTTGCACATCTTCTACTTTTAAATGTATATGTTAAAAAAACATTGATATTATTATTGAATTGTAATAATATTGAGGCTCACTTCTACAACTCTTAGATTAAAATTCAAAAAGCCTAATATCCTACTTCACAACAAAATCAATTATTTGATTTAATGTTTGAAGATCAAATAAATTGAGAATCAATTTCTTTACTTCATATTATAATGTGTAGAAAAATTGGCTAAAGAGTGCAATATTATTATACTAAATATTACTTGAAAGTTGTGAAAATTGTGAAATATACAATGTTATAGATTGATTATCTTATCGCAAAATATAAATCTTATTAGTTGCAATACAAATTATATTATGTTTTTTATACATAGATCAAAACTCCGCCAAAAAAAGCACCAAATTATCCAATATTAAGTCAAGTTGTTCAAAAAAAGATAAAAAAATATAATAATTCAAAACTTAAAATTAATATTTTAATAAACTTGACTTATGATCTTAGAATTGAATAGCATTGAAATTGAAGTTCAATGACAAATTATAATTGATTGATAAATTTTTGAAACTTTAATCTTGTACCATCAAACTTTTTAAGTAAGGAAACTTTTGATTCTCTAATGCTTAAATTATATTCTACCATAGCAAGAGTAACATGATTTAGTGTAGATGTTGTAGCAATTTTTATCATCTTTATATCTTCACTTCCTACCAATCTTATTGCTCTTTGTAATAATAAATTGAATTGAAGCATCACATGTATTAACTCCCTCAACTACTCTTGCATTTGTGCCATTGAAAACTTTATTTTAACAAGCTTTGCTATGATTACATAGTAGAAAAGAAGATGTTTAATATCCTTCAAAATAAGTAATAAAAAGGATTGAGAAACAAAAGAAATTCTAAAAATAATATGATTTTAAAAGTGGATAATCTATAATTTCTAATATGCTTATGTCTTATCAAGAAAAAAAGATAATCTATTTTTAATTTTAAAATAAAAATAAAAAATAAAAAATAAAAAATAAATTATATTATAAATATATTCTTGTCAATTTGTTAAAGATAAGAATTCAAAGAAAGTACATAAATAAGTGATATTTTTCTAAGAGAGATGACAAAATGAAATAAAAAAAGATGTATATTCAAGGAGAAATTAGAATGGATATTATTAAAAGATAGGAAAAACCAAAGACCCTTGAAATCAAACTAAAGACAAGAAAGGAGTTGACAAGAATAAAAAAAAGGCTTCATTCTTGCCTCTATATATACTATCTAATTAAGAGTTATGTGGCAACATTCTAAAGGACTTCTAATACGTATTCAATTTATAAGATATGTATTTAACTTGCAAAGCAAGTTTTTTATATGTGTCCTACAAGATTAGCTTGTATTATAAGCTACCAATATATGCAACATGTATCTAACTGATTGGCTGAGTGTTCAACCTACCAATCACCTAAAGACACACATAAAGGTACAATCGTGTCTACAAAGCTTCTAAAAAGCTTATTTACAAGATATTATCAAATTAATTTATTTTTACTTACTTCTATTTATTTATATTATTTAGATAATTATTGGAATAAATATGTATATCCATATTAATTGCTTGATAATATTAAAATCTTTAGATAATTTATAGAACTAGTTAAGATACTACTATTATATTTATAAACAAGCTTGTAGTAGCTTGAAATCAAAAACATTGGATTGAAAGAAAATTAGTTTGATAATAATATTATGTGCATCAATTTCAAATCTAGTAAGTTTGTAAATCAATTTCTTTATTTTATATAATGATAGAAATTTAAGTATATAAATGCAAATAAACATTATCATATCTGGATTTTTGAATTGATATTTAATTTATTTCAACAAGTATATATTAAAACATATCTATTGTCAAAAACTCAAGAACTCCTCTCAAAAGTACAAAATTTCATTATAGAATCACAATTCTCATTCCAATCTTCCTCAGCACCAAGAAAATAAACTATCTCTCTATGCCAACTTAGTCGATTTTAGTAGCTAATACAGCTACTTGCTATCACATTGAATTAAATAGTCGAGCAACAAACTAAATCTCCAATTCCAAACACCTTATCAAATCCATCTCAATTTTTCTATTTAATTATCTTGAACAATCAATTGAGGTGGTAGGAAACAACACAAAGAATATGAACATGAATTCTAACATCTGTTAGTAAACCTAAGTGAATGTTCTTATTAATATATCATTACCTGCCACCATCACTCCTGCCACCTTTGCATGCATTCTTTCTAAAAATGCTTATAAGGGCCTTCTTGGAGGATACCTCCAATCCACTCTTCCAAACCCTTGTGCCAACGAAAGAGAGTCTCAAGCAGTTTCAACAAGGCTGTTTTCTGCGCTCTCAAGTAGTGTTTCAAGCAAAGGAGATGCTTGGATACAAAAGACTGGTTGCCTTTTATATCCATGGAGGATGATAATCCACCATATGAGGTAGAGTGACATAAGACTAAATTAATCATTGCATGGTTTGAGAGGTGTGGCTTTAATAAGTCCCTATATTTATAATCATAAACATACATAATAACATTGTGGTGCAAGTGAAGTGATAATAATTTAATACAAACTTTTATTTTACCATATAATAATTACCATGTATTAAATAACTCATTCAATATTTGTCAAATATATAAGAAATAAATACATATGTACTTGAATTATGAATTTCTAATAAAAACAATTTATATCATATACTTTAATCACATATTTCATTTTAATTAAAATTAATATATAATAAATTTTTGTTCTACCTTACATATCTATTAATTTTTAAAGTAATTTGTTCATCTATTCAATCATAATGACTACTTTTAGCAACTCTGCAGTTAAGTTCAAAATTACCTCAAGCACCAATTAATCAAAACAGAAGAGTAGTTTCCTGTTGCTGTAAAACATCAAGTCTTTCTAAGTGAAGTTCTGTATTAAAAATCTATTTATTTCAGTACAAACCCACTAATGCTTTCTGAAAGTTCAGGTTTGGATACAAATTGGACTGATGAAATGAATCACAAGTTTAGAATCACATTCAAAAAGATTGGAACCGTTCTACGGATTTCGTAGTGACTAGATTTTTAACTGGATCAATAAGTTGCGAATGTTCCATACATTTCTTTGACCAATTGTTCAGCGTCATTTTTATGTCACATTCATCAACATGTGAGACAAGATCATATCACATTTGAACCCTAAATAAAAGCCTTCTGCACATAAAATCGTCCGTAATCTGTTTCGGCTGATGCTCTGGACATTAAGATTCGTGCTTGCTGAATGTAATCAAGGTTCATGCAGAGTCAAATTAGAAGACAAGTTACAATATCATCCTAGACCTCATCAAATCTTATCTGAATTCATATGATACAAAGACTCACCTTGAGATCGTTAGTAGGTGTGAACATAAAATCTGATTTCAGGTGAATCTAATAAAACAACAATCGAAGTCCGGATATCTGGTTGAATATGCAAAAAAGAATATGGTGGTGTATGCACATTTGAAGCTGGCACTGACTGTCCGCATGCGTATGAAAAGCATGCGCATGCATCAGCATGAGTGAAAACGCCTCGTTCACTCAAGGAACATACTCAAAAGGCTCAGGAGGAGGAACTTCGTTATCCTCCACAACCATGGCCACAGCATTGGTGTTAGCAGCTACTGCTCCTGCACCACCTGCAGACACAGGTGCGTCTGTCGAAACCAGCTCTACTGGTTCTGAAGGTGTCATATCTCTCAACATCACAAAGCCCGAGGGAGCTCGCTTCAGCTTCAAAGGTGTATATCTCGAATCCTCTCTGAACTTGATGAACTTCTCTTGTTCAGGCACCACACGTGCTGGATTATTTAGAACTTCGGATGACGGCTCTGCCACAACAGCCTTTTTCTCCAATCCATCCTCTACATCCATTGAGCACTCGTCTTTTACTGCAGAAGTGGACTCTTTGTCACCACCCACTGCCCCCTCCGCACCTGCACCAGCGTCCTGAACAGTTACTTTTCCTCCTTTAGCTTCTGCTTCCCTCTTTGCGCCTCTGACTTTTGCACGGTTGGAAGTGGAAAGAACAGCAGTCGGCAGCTTCACAGCAGAAGTAGCGGCAGGAGGGACCACTGATGGAGGGTATCCAAACAAGGATGGCTTGGTTTCAGAGACGAAGTCAAACTTAGGCATTCTAAGTTCTTCGTTCAGACCTATGAAAGCTGTAGGGGCGAAGGACAGACTGATAAAATAAATTAGTGGATACCAGTACCAAAATTGGCTGAAAACGACCATTCCTACGACTGCGGTCATGCGGTCATGCCCTGTACGAGATTGCAGCATGATCGCGACATTCCGGCCTCCTGCATCTAAAATCCCTTGAGCAAGAATAGCTCCCATTTTGCTCATGGTCTCCTCATGCTTGTCATTGATAATTTTCTCGAGCTGTCTCCTGAAACTGGCTACACGAGGCTCTCGAGACTCTGTCGTTTGTAGAAGAACCATGGCCATGGCTATGAGTGCTCCCTGACGAACAAAATCTACTGCATCAGATGTAAGAGGTTCCAACAAAGAGATCGCTTCACTGGATCCTGAACCAGCGCATGAAATACCTACAGCCATTGCAGCCCCGTATCTCACATGCGCATTGTACGACTCCGAGAGCAATGACACCATTCGAGGTGCCTGCTCAGGCTCCGAACACAGAACAAAACCTAACGCCAACACAGCCGTCCTCCTTACATCATCACTAACGTCCGAAACTGCAAAATGCAGCAACCGCCGGATCGCACTGTTATTAGCAGTGCCGCGATATGCCATGGCCAGGGCATACATACCACCATAACGCAATACAGGATCCTGGTCCCCAGTCATCTGCTCGATTAATGTGTCCGCTTCCTCTTCACGTCCATACAAAACCAGTGAAATACCAAGGGCCAAACCACGAATGATCTTCTCGTGCTGCGTGTCATGAGCATACGCCAACATTTCTGCTGCCTTTTCACTGGCCGTACCAACCATCAGCAATCCCATTGCTATACCAGCTGCTTCCCCTGCTACAGCACTATCAGTATAAAGGACATTCTTCACATCTTCATAGATCTCCTCATCTGCTGTACCTAGAGCTGCTAGGCCTAACCCCAAGCAAGCTCCGTGTTGAATTACTTCATTGCTAGTGTTGCGCAAACTTTCCAAGAGAAATTGCTTAATACCCTCGCCGTGGTTAGCATGGATCAACCCTAGAGCGTATAGAGCTCCTCCCTCAGAATATGGACTTCCACCACCAGTTCCTCCATTCTGTGGTAAATAAGGGGCCATCAAAGATCTACCTTGTTGATGATGACCCCGATGAATAACACCTAGTCCTGCTGTGGCACTAAACTTAGCCCAATTAGTAGCTCTCTTCAACCAGTCCAAGTTCTCTCGCAAGAAAGTATCCACCGTGGTACCGGCATGCATGAGAGCGTTAGAGTAAATGGTTGCACTGTGACAAACGCTATTCCGCATCTCCACAGACTGTTTGATATTCTTCAGTATCAGGAGATCTGACCTATTGTGACTATACAGAAACTGCAAAGTCAAACTAATGGGCGTCTCTCCAGACAAGATGCCCTTCAACTTCGTTAATCTCTCGGCATACGGTGTTCTCTCCACCACTGGTGCGAATGACGATGCTGCAATATCTCCGGCTTCCTCTGCTGCATGATTCCCTAACAGTGGTTCTGTCAAATCGGAGTCCATAGCCGATGGACCACTGCTTGTCATGGCACTGATGCCATTCCCGTTACGATTATCCTGACTCAATCCTCCGTTTAGGACCATCGAAGGAGCGGTTTTCGATATGCTTGATGGTTCGGGCAAAAGATTCCGAACATTCAGAAGAAACTTTTGATACTCATTTTCAAACAAGTCAAAGGCTACTTGGTACGCCAATAGGGCATCATTTTTATCCCCTTTCAAAAGCTTGTCCAAAATTGCAGCAACTTCCGCTGGCTCATCCAGGAACATGAGACACTGACATACATTTAGATAGTCAGGCTGCTGAAGTCCTTGATAGCTCTTAACCAAAAGTCTCAAAACTTCATGTCGGAACGCACGATTATTTACAAAGGTTTGTGACAAGCGTAGGCAATACGAGAGCATGGCAGAAGAGTTCTCACTCCTGCTAATTGCTACTTCTAGAGTATCAAGCCGTCTGCATTCCAACGCAATACCAACAGCCTGCTGAATTTTACCATCCTGAATACACTTTTCCAGCATCCGCTCCACAATCGCCACCAAGCGGGGATCCAGAACCGTCTTTTCCTTCTCATTCGATTCGGCAGCCTTCACACTAAGCAATATGTATTCATCCACACATTTGGCCACGAGAGTCTGCACATATTCCGTGTCCTCCGACACATCGAACAACGATCCAGCCCCTAACGCATACGTAAGCGAGTCATTCAGCTCTCCCAAATAATAGAACACTTTAGACGCCACCAACGCAGCCAATTCAGGTTCATGGAAGGTATCGTCCTCATACAAGGACTCGATCGCGGATACTTTAGTTGATACCTCGGGCCAAAATTTATCCACCAGCACATTCAGATTCTTAAGCGCATGCAGTTTTAGCGTCGGATGTGGCTCCTGCAGCATGGCCAGCAGACCGGTCGCCGTGGTCACCACTGTCATGACGGAACTGGTGCCTCCTCCTCCTCCACCGATGTATTTGAATTAATTTCAGTCGACGCTTGTAAAACCCCTTCCGTGCTCCCTAACAACCACAATGCTCACAAACAAATCCTCCAAACAAAAGCATACAAGCTTATCCACCATTAACTCCCTCTTCGAGGCTGTGGAAAGAACTACCTAACGGAATAGAGAAGCCTGCAACGCCAAGCTCCTCGAGAAGCTTTACGGTACTCGAGCAAAACCTGGCTCTGCGAAGCCCTAATTTCAGAAAAACAGCTTCAATGAATCAAAGCTTTCGAAGAAGAAGAAGAAGAAGACAGGACGGGCTGGGGTGGGCCGGGTTCCCATTGCCACCCTTCCCATCCCGTCCTGGCCCTCGTTCCCATAGTTGTTAGCATGCGTTGGGAACCTAGCCTGCTGAATTTATGAGGATTCTTGACTTATACATCATTGGTCTTAAGAAATTAGATATTGCATAAAAATATCTTGTTGAATTTAATTTTTGATTATATCTTTATAATATTTTTAATTTAAAAATATGTATGATAGGTTTTAAAGTTATAGCTTTTAGAAGCAATATGGTTTATAAGATTATCATTTGATTAGGATTCTCATATTTGGAATGGAATCAACATTAGAAGTATTAAAATTATAAAAAATAAATTTATTATCATTATTTAATTAAGGAATTGATATTATTTATCACTAGTATATGAATGTTTGTGAAGATTTGAACGTGGTACTCAAAAGTTTTATTATTTAAGTACTTCAAATATTTTCTCTTTTTAGAATTATTCAAAATATCAAAATTTGAAGTTTCAATTTATATAGAAAGTTAGAAGTTTTAGATAAAAATAAACACTTTTGATGTCTTGATATCGTTGATTTACTTTGGCATATACAGTTGTAAGGACTTGAAGGCAATACCAAAAGACTTTAGTAACCTTATTTTTATTTTTATTTTTTTATATTTAATTAATTAAAGTAAAGACACATGTAAAATTTAATAACAATAATAAATTCAATATTATGGTTTATAAAAATCAAAAAGATTAAACAAAGTACATAAGATTAATTTAATTAAAATAATAAATATTAGTTTTTTAAATCATAAAAGATACATGTTGTGGTTGATTCTTTTTTTTATGCATGGATATTATCATCTTATCTAAAATTAAGTGATTGTAAAACATTGAAGTTGTTGCATAAAGTTCAAACATCCTTAAACATTATTAAAATATCACATTCAAAATTTTTGTTACTTAAAAAATTATATATAGTAAACATATGATTTTCAAATTTATTATTTTTAATTAGCGGAAATGTACATAATATGAGAATTTGAAATAGTTCAAAAAAGACTTTTTCTATTATGCACATTTTCATGTAGTAACACAACCATTAGGTAAAAGAAGAAAGAAAGTGTTTTATAATAGAAGAGCCTAATTAAAAAGATATAATAAGAAAACATAGATAAAAGATAAGCAAGTACTAAAATCTTATAGTATTAGAATTGCCTTCTGTAAAAATTGATTCTACTTACTTTATATGGCCATAAATAAGCAAAATAAGGCAGACTAGAAAAATAAATGATATAAGCACATATAAGAGAGAGTTAGAACTTAATTTTAGCAAAAATGACCTCAAGAAAAGAAGAATTGATACCCAGAGAGGACCATTTGCCAACCAGGGTCAAAATCAGATACTAAGGTACAAAATTGAGCACCTACACCGTTCTGGAGTTCTTTTGTTAATTGGAGAGTGGAATTTGAGAGCGAACTTGAGAAGAGATTTTTGAGAGTTGGTTTCATGTCATTTGGATGAATATTGAGGTTTTAAGGGATTTTCAAAGTTAATAATATACTTGGTGGGTTTAGATTTGAGAAATAAAAATAAATTTATAAATTTGAGGATTTTGTGAATTTTTTAACATATTTACAAGAATATCAACATTAAGGTTGAAGAAGGAGGTTGGCTGATATTTAAGCGGAGTTTAGGAATTATCATCTATTTGATATATATGATCTTCTTTAATTTTTTTGTGTTTGTTGTTAACTTACTTGTTACAAAGTTTGCAAATTTTGAGTAAAAATCAATAATTCAAGAATTAATTATTGAATTTTTAATTTATTATAAGATTTGTTAAGAGTTTTTTTAAGATTTAATTAAAGATTGATTAAAATTAGTATAAAATATAAGATTTGATTTAGGATTTATGTAGAATTTTATTAAGATTTATTTAAGATTTATCTAGAATTTGATTAAATTTTGTTTAAGATTTATTTAGGATTTGATTAAGGTTTTTTAAAGATTTTTTTAGATTTTTTTTAAAATGTGATTAGAATTTATGATTTCATTAGGATTTAATTTAGTATAAAGGTTTCATTAGAGTTTGATTAAGATTAAAGATTTTATTAGGATTTTATAAGGATTTGATTAAGATTTAAGATTTCATTAGAATTTAGTCTAAGATTAGGATTTAGGATTTGATTAGAATTTATTTAGAATTCGTCTAAGATTTTTTTAAAAAAAATTAGAGTTTTATTTCAATTTGATTAGAATTTAAGGTTTTATTAAAATTTGGTTTAGAATTAGGATTTAGGATTTGATTACGATTTGATTACGATTTGATTAGGATTTGATTAGGATTTTATTAGGCTTTGATTTAAGATTTTGTTAAGATTGATTTAAGATTGGTTTAATATTTGTTGAAGATTATATTAGAATTTCTATTATTTATATTTATTTAAGATTACTTTAATATTTTTTAAATATTTTTTATTATATATTTTTTTATTAAAATTAATTCATGATTTTTTATATTTTTTTATTTAAGTTCTTGAAATTTCTTTTAGATTTAATTAAAAATTAATTGGTATTTTATAATTTAATTAGAGTTGTTAGAATCATCTTATTGCAAGTTCTAATACATCATAATTTGGTGAATCTAACATATAAAGCTTAAGATGGAAGGTATTTGGATTTTTTCAGTTTATTTGAATCATAAAAATAAAAATAAAAATAAAAAATAGAAGGAAGAGCTTTTGGTGGTACTTCAATTGGTGCTTTAAATAGAGTTGAAAGTAGAACTATAAATGGAAAATAAGGTATGTATTTTGATCCCAACTCTACAAGCATGTTTGAGGCTTTTGCTTTATTTATGCAATAGCAACAAATTAAAGAACACAAAGAAGGTATGGCAAACAAATCATTACAAGCATTTGTGGACAAGATTGATCAATTTGAAGAGAATAATATTACAAATTATTTAAAATATTATGTAAAAAAAATAAAATTAAAGAATATTTTGAAAAATAAATGGTTTAATTATTTGAATTAGTTTCTTTATTAAAAATAATAAATCATGTAAATTTTATTATAGGACATTTTGGAGATTCATAAAAGAATTTTTTTCAAGCATTAAAAGATGTATTTTTCTTAGAAGATAGTGATCAGATTACAAATAAGTCATTTTTTGAGTGGATTGAAAGACGTAAGAAGGATCCTCAAGCAACAAAATTACTAAAAAAATTTGAAAGCCAATATTCTCATTTATCAAAAAAAAAATTATTAGATCTAAGCAAAATAGAGCTATTTTTTTTAAGCAATTGATGGAGAGTTGCAAAAAAAATTAGAAATTTTGCTTGAAGATAAAGAAGAAGAGGAAGGATTGACAACAAATTAGAAAGAAGTAGAAGTAGAATTAGGGTTGCTTGCAAAAAGAGAGAAAAGAAAAATGATAGGGTAGGTATTCAAAGACCATTGCAAACTTCTAAAGTAAAAATGCCTATTAATTATTCTATATCTATGATTCAACCTTCAATGATTATATCAAAAAAAGAAAAAAAATGGGCATTGATGAGATTATACAAGGCATGAAAGATTTATAAATAAAATTTACAAAACTTAAGTAAAAGAATCAATCATCAAAAATATCAAAAAAACAAAAATTCGAACCAATGGAAGGTGTAGTACATAGGTGCATGTGGTGTGATAGTGTGGATCATTTAAGAAGGGAATGGGAAGATTTTACAAAGGAATTATGGAAAGGAGTTGTCTTTTCAAAGATAGTATGATACACTTAAAAGAGAGTGGAAAAAAATTAAAGACAAACTTTGATAAAAAGAGAATAAAGGTGCTTACAAAAGAAACATTTAAAATATCAAGCAATGAAGTATCAACATATTGAATAGATGAAAATCCTAGCAAATATTTAAGTATAAATCTTGCATTTGTAGAAGGATTTAGTTCTTTGTAGTCAAGTGCAATGAATTATGCTGAAAAGAAAAAAATTATTAGAAATGATTTAAAATGTATTAGTAATAATATTTTGCAAATTACTACATAGGATGATCTAATAGATGGATTATTAATTCATGTTCATATTGCAAGGAGTCAACATAAAGAAATAATAGAAGAAAAACAAAAGAGAGATAAAAATAATGAAAAGCCATTAAAAAAAACTACAAGAAGAGAAAAATTACAATAATAAAAAAATCCTATTTATAAAAAAGAAATAGAAAATATTTCTATAAAAGAAAGAAAAATTGTGAAAGAAAAAACAAAGGTTCATGCTTATAAATTATAATTGGATATTAAGGTTGTTATAGATTTAAAGAAGATATTAGAAGAGAAAATTTTAGGTAGAAAGGTTTAATTTACAATTGGTGAAATTATAAGGATTGCAAAGCATGAATTTCATGAAGTTATTATTGAAACAATAAAGAAAAAAATACAATCTATAGGAAATACTATGACATCAAATGCATAAAGAATAAAGGCAATGAGAGGCAATATAGATGAAGAAGATGAAATATAAAAAAATTGGAGATATTTTATGAGTTAGATTTACAAAAGAAGAAGTTATGATTTAAGTCTCTAATCATTATTGTCAAAATCATTGGACAAGGGCTACTACAAAAAAATTAGTAAAATTAGGAAAGTTTGAAGAATCAATTATAGTATTAATTAATCATGATTTTGAAATCAATTTGATGTCAAAAGGATTGTATAAAAAGTAAAATTGGCCTATTGATATTGAATATGGATAGATGATAAGATCAAAAAATAATTCAAAGTAAGATTTATATAGATCCTGTCTAAATATTAAAGTGACAAAAAAAATTGTTATTCATGAATATAATATTTTTCTAAAAGATATATTTATATATTCTATTATATTAGAACAACCATACATTATTACCACACAAATAGAGACAAATGTTATAGATGATCGTTTAGCTTATGTAAAGATAAAAATTCAAGATGAAAAGAAGACAATATAA